AATAATTAATTAATTAATTATTTAATTATTAACGAAAATGCCGTATTCGAGACATTACGATAGGGCTGCAGCGCATATACGTAGTGTGGCTGCCGTTAATATATCATTTTCGGAGGTTGATCATGTGAATGTTGGTAAAAACGTTCTCATAATGTCAGGAAAACTTTCCTAAAACACGTTATTAGAACGTTACTGAATAATGTTCTGCTAACATAAAAGAAACATTCAAGGAACATAACTTTGTTAGCTGGGATAGCTATATACATAGAGAGAAAGAAAGGGAGAAAGGAAGACAGCGAGAGAGAGATAGCGAGAGAGCGAGAGAGAGAGTGATAGAGAGAGCGAGAGAGAGAGAGAGAGAGAGAGAGAGAAAGACGTGGAGAGCTGAGATGTTAGTAGACACGTCTATATAGCTGAATTCTCTGTGTGTGTGTGTTTTTTAGATTTCTAATGAAGAACGTGCCTACATTGAGCGCACTAGCAAAGAACAACAAGCAGCAGACATGCCTGCACATAGCAGCCGAACACGGTCACCTAGAAACACTCAAGGTACACTCAAATTGACTACGTCACGAATTTTGTATAGTGTGTAATTTTTGTAAAATTGTTATTACATTTTTCCCCATGAAAAGTAAGTACTAACGGCACTAAATGTATCCTCAAATTAATTCTTACCTGATTAGATTGTTTTGCAACTAGTTAAAGATCCAAAAACCTATGCGATGTTATATATTGATCACGAGATTAAATGCTTGCTATGGGCTATGTATGAGTCACGAGTGTATGTTTACATCGAACGCAATAGCAAAATAGGAAGTATAATGCAACAATTTAACCATAAAAAGTAAACAGAATCACTTACATTTTGTGAAAAAGTGGACAATTTTTTTACCTTTACTATTTACGGTGACGTAATCGCTTTATCTAACCGACGCCAATTAAGTCGACAGCGTCCGCGCTGACACAGCTTTTGCCGCAAAAAATGGAAAATGGAAAAAATGCGTGAAGAATGGAATGCGCGTAGCACTTATAGCAGCAATGTTATTTGCGAGACCAATAAACCGCCTTTTGTTTCCTCTCCTAGCTTTAGGCAGACTGCCTCTTGTTTCCTGTACTAGCATTAGGCAGACTGCCTCTTGTTTTATGAACTAGTTTTAGACACACTGTTTCTTGTTTCCTGTACTAGCTTTAGAATGACAGCCTCTTGTTTCCTTTACTAGCTTTAGGCAGACCGCCTTTTGTTTCCTCTCTTAGCTTTAGGCAGGCTGCCTCTTGTTTCCTGTACTAGCTTTAGAATGACAGCCTCTTGTTTCCTGTACTCGCATTAGGCAGACTGCCTCTTGTTTTCTGTACTAGTTTTAGACACACTGCCTCTTGTTTCCTGTACTAGCTTTAGAATGCCAGCCTCTTGTTTCCTCTACTAGCTTTATCCAGGCTGCCTCTTGTTTCCTGTACTAGCTTTAGACTACTGTCTCTTGTTTCCTGTACTAGCCTTAGACTGACCGCCTCTCGTTTTTAACCAGAGTTATATTCTGACTGCCACTTGTTTTGTGCGTATGTTGCGGCCACCAGGCGGTGCTGGTGATCCAGGATAAGCGCGAGTACGAGACGCAGAGTAGCGGAGGCGGAGAAGAACGGCAGCTTATAGGACAGCGAGATCAGTACGGACACACAGTGCTACACGTCGCCATCCTGAAGAAACACACGGACGTAGCCGAGTGGCTCATTGCGAAGGTGCGGCGCTACACTACACGCATTCTCACTCTCTCTCTCTTTCTCTCTCCTCTCATCTCCTCCAATTCTCTCAGTCTCTCTCCTCATCTCTACTCATCTCTCCTCTCAACATTCTCTACTCATCTCTCTATCTATCATCTCGCTCATACTCTCTCATGTCTACTCCTCTCTAAATGTCTCGTTCTCTCTCCTACTCTATCTCTCTTCATCTACTCTGTCAATCTTCTCTCATCTCCTGTCTCTGCTCTGTAGTCTCTCATCTCTCTCTCTCTCCCCTCTCTCTCTCTCTCTCCTCACCCACACCTCACTCTGCGTTCTCTCTGTCACCTCCGTCTCCCTCGTTTCTGCTCGATCTCTCCTGCTCTACTCAGACCAAGCTCTTCTCTCTCTCTGTCTGTCTCTCTACATCTATTCTCATATTCTCTCTCTGTGATGTTCTCTCTCTCTCAACTTTCTCGATCTGGTCTTCTCTCTGCTGTGTTCTCTTCTAAATCTTCTGAGTGATATATATTTCTTACATAGTGTCTGGTTATCTCTGCCTCTCTCCTCATCTCTGTCATCTGCCTCGCTTTCATGCTCTCCTCGCTGCCTACTCTCACTCTCGTCGCCTCTCTTTCTCTATTTCTCTCTCAGCTGTCTCTCTCTACAGTGTTCTCGTCCCATGTCTCTTCTCTCTCAACGCTTGTACTTTCCTCTCATATCTGCTTCTCTCTCTCCCCTCTCTCACTCTAATTTTTTAGTTATCTCTCTGACTGTGCTATCATCTTTCACAATCCATATCTACCTGAACTATCTCAAATTTTAATTACTCAATCATCTGCGCTCTTTTACTCGCACTTTCTCACTTTCCACTCTCTTGCTAACTCCTCAGATGTCATAATTTGCGCATCTTACCTCTCTACCCTAGTTTTACTTCTAATCTCCGCACATCTTTCTCTCTCCAACACCATGCCCCCTTCTCATATCCCGCATTTCTGTCTTAATCCCCACAAACGCTTCATCTCTGTCCGTCTCTCTGTCGTATACCATAACACTCCTTCTGCTCTGACTGTAAAGATACGTTTATTATCTCCGCAGTCCTCATTCAATAGTTCAACTCAGAGTATCTCACCCTCTCCAGCAATCTCGGCCGCTATATCTTCTTCTTTTCATCCTACATTACTTGCTCTCAATAGTACAAACAAACGACTTAACCTGTAAACAGCTGAGAAAACGATAGAAGGCTCCCAACGCGCATCCCATACATGTGCGGCAAGAATAGGACAACAATCACAATTGTTTGAGAAGCTACGTGAAAACGTCTATCTGCGACCCGTTAGTGAAGGACAGGAACAAACTAGGATACGAGCATTGCGCACGGACCCATAGACATGTGTGTGTGTTGTAGTGTGTGTGTGTGTGTAGTGTGGGTGTGTGTATGTATGTGAGTGGTGCGTGTAAATAGTGTGTGTGTGTGTGTAGTGTTGGTGTGTGTGTGTGTGTGTGATGCGTGTGTGGTGTAGTGTGGTGTGCCGTGTAATGTGTGTGTGTGTGTGGTGTGGTGTTGTTGTTGTGATTGTTGTTGTGTGTGCTGTGTGCGTGTATGATGTGTGTGTAGGTGTGTGTGTATTTGTGTGGTGTGTGCGCCGGTGTGTTGTGTGTGTGTGTGTGTGTGTGGTGTGTGTTGTGTTGATTGTGTGTTGTGTTGTTGAGTGATGTGCATGTGTGCTGCGTAGTGTGGAGCGGCGTGCGGCGCGCGCGGCCGCGTGTGATGTGTGTGTAGTGTGTGTTGTGTGCTTACTCTCACTGTGTTACTCCCAGTGTGGCTATATTGCTGTCACAGACCGTGTCATGAACGCAACGCGACGTTCAGTCGCAAAAATTCTGCAGTCAGCCCCACGGTTCTTGTGTTCTAACAACTGCCGCTAGGAGGCGCTACTGAACCGCACACTCTCACACGTTCACTTGTTTTCTCAGCGCTCCCGGCGTAAAGGCGCGACCGCCTCTAAGCTGGACTGCGACGCAAGCACGGGAAAGAGCCGAGTGCGTGCGATACCCGTCGATAACAACACACACGCGATTGGCATTGCCAAGTCCACGGCAACCAAACAACGAAAATGGAGACGCACCGCCTGCCAAACACTAGCAGGCGAGAAGAGCGGCAGTCGACAACTACTGCCTACTGACGAGAGAATGGGTGGCATAGGACAGCCTCTTGTCTGTGTTGACACTGCGCACTGGAGACACGCCCATGCACATAGCAGCTGTGAGTTCAGCACATTCATCCTCATATGATCATCCTATAGGTGGTGAACATACAGTAGAAGGGCGTACCCATAAAGGCAGCAGACCACGGCCTGAATAAGCTATCGAACAGAAAAATTAATAAAAAAAATAACTCACATAACTGTTACTTCGGCGCATACAAAACATACACTTTAATTTATGTTAAATAACATACAGATTCATGCGCTCGCTATGCTCCGCTCGAAACTTTTGCCAAGCTTCTAACCGAATTGCGAATTTTTGCAAAAGTTGTCTGAACACAAATTACAAGCACAAAAAAACCGAAACACGGATCAGCTGCGGCTAACGCCAACCTGATCGGAAGAGATCACGAATACACACAAAGGATCGCATTTTACTTCTAAATGCATTCTAACCGTCCACGAGGCATCTAATTTTGCCGAGTCGCATAATGGCAAATTATTCACCTCTAAGTGCCGAATTTCGGACGGAAAAAAAAGCCAAAAAAGCTCCTATTCTAGAGACAAATGAGGCAACGGTGAACAATTTGCGAGAGGCATTCATCTAGTGCACGGGTCCTAATAGCTAATTATTCATGTTGCAATTATCTCATGTTATATTATGTTTATTTTTATATTATATATATAATATAATATATATCATATATACAAACATCACTGTATATTCATGTATTAATTGTTAGCTGGATATACGGTATATATATATTATATATATATATATATTATCATGTAGCTGTATAACTGGTATGGACTATACCAGCTAGATATATATATATAATACATATATATTATATATAGTACATGTAGCTGTATATGCATGAACGATACAGCTGGATATATATCAAATATAATATATCAAGAGTCATAATAGAGAAGAGTATATACACCGTTTAACAGCGCGTTTTTCATAGTTTTTAACTATTGGTAAAATATTCTATCATATGTAGATTAATTATATTCAAACTTTACCCTATTATCAGTCTATGAATCTCCTCTTAATCATATGACACGCAACAATTAACCATGAAAAAATCTGTATGTGTTTCATTCAAAAAATTCTTGAATAGGAACACGGTTTCAGAACAAACAGTTTCCACAGAAGTTCCACAGAATCGCAGCATGTGTCTTAGGCGACAAGTTTAGTATGGGATCATAGTGTTCTATATGGTTCTCTAATCTACGCTTTGTATCTTGAATACAACCTGGGTTCTAGCCGCCAGCATACAACATTTGGTCCAGAATACTTTCGCACTAACACAATGCTGGCCCATTTCGTGAACTGATTGAAACCCGTGGTCAGTAGTTCAAAGAACTTTTTCTGGAAGAACACATAAAACGATTTCGGGTAAATTGGGTGTAGATCATTATTATTAAGGGAAGAATACCATAAGACGAAACAAAGGTAATAGCTTTGAATATATGGATTCACAATTATTAGTATAAAATTTTACAAGTGAACAGCCTATCGCACAAACGCTGTGAAAACCGAGGTCCAACTCTTTCTACTATACTGCACTCTTGATATTATATATATACTATATATATTATATACTACCATGTAGCTGATAACTGCAATAAAGGACATATACCAGCTGGACGTATAATATAGTATAAATATAGATATATATATATAATATGTGTGTACATGTACTGNGAGAGAGAGAGAGAGAGAGAGAGAGAGAGAGAGAGAGAGAGAGAGAGCGCGCGCGACAGAGACAGAGAGAGAGAGCGCGACAGAGACAGAGCGAGAGAAAAAGAGAGAGAGAGAGAGTTATTGCTCAACCTAATATGTGCGGTTCATCCGTGCACATAGCAGCTATATCTCTACAGCCGTGTAGGCCCGTACAACCACACACATCACTGATTTATTACAGCAGACGACACCTTTACTGATTACTCATTTCAGTACCCAATCAGTCATGTCACCCAATCGCTCAACGACGAAATTCTAACTTGAGTTTGCTCGCTATCAAATTTCAATATTGACTACATGTCTCGCTCGCTGTCGATGGCAATTTAAGTTATCTCAGGTTTGCAGGTGGGCTGTGGGTGTGGTACCATTAAAACCCAATAACCGCGAGGGCTTATTTAAATATATATACTTATATATCTCACATATAGTGTCCACCCATACGATCTCTGTTCTTGTTGCTCTTATTTTTATTATCATTATTATTATTATTATTATTATTATCAGAAGCTAATAATACATTAGGTCTTATTAGCTCTTGTTATTATTATTATTATTATTATTATTATTATTGTTATTAATATTAATATTATTGTTGTTGTTGTTGTTGTTGTTGTTGTTGTTGTTGTTGTTGTTGTTGTTGTTGTTGTTGTTGTTGTTGTTACTGT